TGCATGAGGCAGAGCAGTAAGCCGCCACCACAACTTCGTGACAAGAAAGGTCCTGAAGACAAAAACCTGCACACAGGCAAAATCATTGCGCATGAACAAAGTCAATAATTCGCACCAGTCCTACAAAGTGGACTTCCCAACCAAACGGGGGTTCGTACTCGTCAAACCAAATGGGGGTGCGTACTCATCAAGCCTTACAAAAGAGGGCTTAAACCAGACTTTGCGACCAAGGGGTTAGCTACCACATCAAAGGAGCATCCCAAGGTTACAACAATCAGATGGGGTTTCGTACTCGTCAAACTAGATAGGGGTGCATACTCTCATCAAGTCTTACAAAAGGGGGCTTAAACCAGACTTTACAACCAAAGGGGTCAACTACTGCATCAAAGGAGCATCCCGGAGGATCACATTTAGCGTCTAGAAGGTCGGTTACCACAATAAGGGAAGCAACCGAAGGACAACCGGATAAGAGGGTCAACTCCTTCACCCTCCAGCCGATCCTTTCGGCATATTGAGCCAACAGTCGGCTAGTCAGGTGAAGGGGGGCCAGCTATAGGCCCCAAATCTTGCCCGACCTCAAAATAAAGAGCAGAAGACTTCCGTTCAAAGATGGGCAAGGCCTTAAAGATCCCTAGGATTGACCAATAGGCTCCATACTAGAATAGGAAGACTTTTTGTACACAAAAAATAAGAAATTTCACTTAAAGGGTCGAGATCGCTGTCTCATTTGGCGAGACCGTTGTTGGCTAAGGCGAGACTGCCGTCTCGTCACTCTCCAAAGGCGAGACCGCCGTCTCGCCACTCTCCAAAGGTGAGACTGCCGTTTCGCCACTTGCCAAAGGCGAGACGACGGTCCTGAAAGTCGAGATGGCGGTCCCGACCTTGTCAAGCGAGACGACGGTCCCGACTTGACAGGTGCGAATTCTTATAAAAGTGGGGAACCTTCACCTCGTTTTCACACCATTCTACAACTTCTCCAACTGCATAATTCTCTAAATACTCTCCTAAGACCCCTCTGAAGCATTTCCAGAGTTCTAGAGTTCTTAGGAAGCGTTCTAAAGTGCTTCGAGAGAAGAGTGAACTACTTTGTAGAGTGTGAGATTTGCCAAAAAGCGTTATTTTCAAGAATATCTTATAAAAAACTTGCTTCAAAGGTTCTCTCATATTGCTTATTTTATCGCTTTTTACTATCTTTATGCATTAGCTATTAAGGGTCATGTAGTCAATAACTTAATTTTGCAATGAATAAATAAGGGTAAAAGCGTAGTTTTGAAGTTCTTATTTCTTTACAAAAACAATCTATCATAGGGAACCCGAAAGGGGCATCGTAGGGAAGTTAATACCTTCCCCACACGTAATTAACTCCCTTACCTAACTCTGGTTGTAATGACCAAAGTTAGTTTTTCTTAAAAAACCATCACCTCTTTTGACGGCAGTGACACTCCTCTATATATTTTCTCTTCTTTGTCAACAACCCCTTCATGAAGCAGGCATAGTCAGACATTTGTTGAAGTGCTCCATAAAAAGATATCTTGATCTCCTGTTTCTTGAATATATTCATGAATCTAGTAAATTACTTTTTGTTCTCCTTTATTGATGGAGTTATGGGGGTAAGGGATGACTCTCACTAAATTTTTCTCTTTCTTACTCTCCGCATCTCCTTTTTCTCCTATTTCTCTCTCATCTCAATTTTCTCATTTTTTTTCTACTCTCCTTCTCTTCATTTTTTTTCTTTTCACAAATCACCTCCACTACCTTTCCATTTCTTGTGGTTATAGCTTGATAATGCTCCTTGAGAATCTTCAAGTCTGAGGTATTCCATAACATCTCTTGGTCACCAATAGTCTTTTTAGGATTTTCTAATCTCCTTAATATCTAAACAATTCGTTTATTCATACCTTTTTTTATTAAAAAGTTGGTCATAAAACACATTTTTGTTGGACGAAATGAGATACCACAATCATTACAAAATTTACAGATTTCACTAAACAAGTGTATAAGCTCATTTACCAAAATTGAAATGTGGTCACCTCTTCCATCATGAGCTTCTCGCTGAGCAAATGATCTGGTCATTGAGCGAAATCTTCAGTTCTCAACTCTTGTCCTTTCACTTTCAACTTCTAATCTTTGTGAAATTTTCACAAAATCTTAGTAATATGACTTTTGGATTCAAAATTTTCTTAACAAAAATTAAACTTATTTTTAACAAAATTGAAAGAAAATGCATGGCATAGATATAAGAAAAAAAACTTTATAAGTAAATAAAATCAGATTTTATCATACTTATCATGTATAGTATGATGGGTGGAGGTAAAGTAGTGTTACTAATCCATGGTGGAAATGGTGGATGACATTGTTGAGATCCAACAAAAGATTGGTAGGGTGATTGTGTCGAGGATAACTTGAAAGGATGATAAATATTCTTGTAATATTAACATGGAGGAGGATGTGAAGTATCAATTATTTTGGTCGTTAAGGTTGACATGAGTAGCAACTAGGCATTTTTGGATAGCTTGGAGGGTATCATCAAACTCTTTTGATATGGGTTTTGGAGGCATTGATTGAAAGCACCAATCTTAAGGATGACAAAATGAGCTAGATTTTTAATAAACCAGTTCTTACACCTTCGGAAGCAAATATGTGATATGTAATATGTCTCAATAGTTAAGTGAGACATAATTAAGCTGGAGGTATAAGGTTTAAATTTGACCCATGGACATTTTACATATTTTTATGAAACAAAGACTAAGTATAATAATTAGACCTATTATTCTCAGTTTAAACTAGCAACACAGGTCATTATCTTCTTCCCCTAGGCCTCCATGAATTGAGTCTCATCATGCAATTGGGCTTCCATCAGGTTAAGTACCATCTATTACAAGACTTCATGGACCCTTTTAGCTCTTGCTCTTGTTACGGGTCCTCCTAAGCCTTATATTGGATATTGGGTATCAATCACATTAAAAGTATTACTTACATTATACTTACCGAGCATATCAACTTTATAGGCAATGTTACATGTCTCCTTCCTTTGTTTGCATCTTTAGCATAACCTTCAATTTTCCTCTCAATTTGAGCCCTGACATTTTTCATGCAACTTCTGGACATATTTTGTTTTAATTTTCCTAGTCTTATCTTGAAAATCAAAAATTTTAGGTAAAGGCAACAAATCTAAATGAGTCAACGGATTAAAACCATAAACTATTTCAAATGGTGACAATTGAGTTGTACCATGCACAACCCTATTGTATGTAAATTCAACATGTGGTAAACACTCTTCCCAAGTTCTAAGTTTTTCTTAATGATAGCTCTAAGAAGAATAGAAAAGTTTTATTTACCATTTCAACTTGACCATCAGTTTGAGGATGACAAGTTGTTGAAAACAACAATTTAGTACAAATCTTAACCCATAGAGCGACTTTTTGATAGAAGTGAACAAATGTGTATTTGTTGGTGTGACTATCATGATGGTTTTTTTTGTCAAACCGCCAAAGTCTCCTAAGCAACACATGGCTAGCTTCCATAGGAACTACATCACAAAAGACCTTATCTTCATACTTCCCAATAGAGAATAAAATATCAAGCTGCTTGTGCACCTTCAACTCTCCTTTCTCACTTAACCATTAAAGTTTATAAAGGCTAGGATGAAGTTTAATCTCAAAGTTCATTTTTATCACTAATCTAGTGTTAACTACATTTATACAACCCCCTTCATCTATGATTAATGAACACACATTTCCTTGAATAAAAGACTTATAATGGAATATGTTTTCTCTTTGACTCCCCTCATCTTTCTTTACGATTCCTCCAAGCATTCTCCTAACAATTAACAAGTGTCCTTTTGGAATAATCTCCTCCTCATTCTCACTCTCTTCTTTACTTGATGATTTTGAATTGGAAGATTCACTTGTGTAGTCTTCATTCTCCTTAGAGAATATTGTCTTCATAATAACACATTTTGAAATTATGTGTCATCTTCCCAATCACTTCAAATTATATACGAGTTTGAAACTATATAGGAGTTTGAGATGTGTTTTATATTAACATGAACCAATGGATATTAGTTCTAAAAAAATATATATAATAAAAAAAATACATAAAACACATTGATCAATTTTTTACGAGTTGTTAATATATATATTAAGATTTATAAATAAGTGTATTTGAAAGATAAAACTTAGTATTATAATGACGACCACTATTATTAAAAAATAATATTTATGAAGTTATTAGACTTTTGTTTATCCATCTATTAGTTAACACGAAGTCAGAATCGTTTGTCATACAAAATTTAAGATTCATATGTTTAATATAAATCCTTTCACTTAAATATAAAAAATTGTGCTCGTAACAAAATATGAAACATAATATATATATATATATATATATATATATATATATATATATATATATATAATAAAAAATGAAAAGCAAAAAAAAGACAAAAAGATTGATAAAATTAATGGTGTGATGTTTGAAAAGGAAGAAAAAAATAATGCATAAATGAAAGAAAGTAGTCGCTCATTGAAAACCATTATCACGTTAATTTCTGAATAGAGAATTAAAAAAATGTTGACCTTAAAATATATTAAATAAATAAATTTGAAAAACTTATTTAATTTAATATTTTTTAAACCCAGATTAAAATAATTAGCAAAATATTTTCAACGAGATTAATTATGAATAAAATATTTGTATGAAAAGATCGCCACTCCATTGAAAAAGTTCGTCCCACTTGCATCTTCATTCACATAAATTCTCTATTCGTTCAAACCTTAATATCTCCACAAGACTTCAACCTAGTAAGAAGAATTCATCACTCTCCAATGGTTGCCAACGAAGCTTCACCGTAAAACCTCACCCTCCTCTCCAACTCTTCAAAATCAACGATAACTTAAAAAATTTACAACAAAATTCAAAGTCGCGCTAATTTATTAAACTTTCAGCGTTAATAATTTATTAATAATTTCGACCGATGTGTCAGGTTCGAGACGAGCGAGATGCTCGCAACGTTTCTGGCGTCGACGCCGCTGTTGTCGGAGTCGTGGAGGCTGTGCACCACCGTGGCCGCCACCTCACCTCGGAGTTTTGTGACGGAGGAAGAAGGCGGCGTGGTGTACGTCGCTTTCCCCGGTGTGGAAATGGCGGCAGCATCGGACTCTTGCTGGAGAACCTTGGTGGCGTTGGATAGCATCGGCGACCTAACACTCTTCTCGGCGCGTCGCACCAAGGAAGACTTCGAACCTGTGATGGTGCATGCCGGGATGCTGAATCTCTTCTCCACCTATTTCAATCCATTTCAAAATCAGGTTTCATAATTCCCAACTCTCGTTAAAGAATTATTAATTTTCATAATAATTATCCAAAATTGATTTAAGATATTTATGAAAAATTAGATTATACATCGATAGTGTAATTATACAATACAAAATTATTTTCTCTAACAGTACATATCCATCCAGTGTATTCACTATTTGATGGCCTTAAAACTTAGCATTGGAGATAATTTTTCTTTTCAAACAAAATGCGGTATATTCGTCGTTTTGTGTATATACTTGCTAAGTTTATTCTGGTGTATATGTTTTATTTGGCTTTTTCACATAACAGGGTATTTAATTTATTCTACACAACTTATTATTTAATTTAGTGGGTGATGTGGTGTTATATTTTATCCTTTACTTTGAAATAAAGAAATAGGGTAATATACGAAATAGAACAGTCATATTTTGACACTGTAAAAAATAAAAATAATTATTTAACAATTTATTTTTATATTATTATTTATTTACTTTATATTTTTATTCGTCAATCAATTAAAATATTATTATTTGTATTTTTAAAAGAAAATGTTAAAATATCTTATAAAATATGAGTGTAATTATATATATATATATATATATATATATATATATATATATATATATATATATATATATAATACGATTTTTATTTCAAATCGTTACATTATATGATTTCTATTATAATTGAAATTAGATTAGAATTACAATTTCATTTATATTTTATTTTTTTAAAATAAACATTATATATTTTATATTTAATATTATATATTGTAAACAAATTAAAATTTACATATAAATTCATTATAAAACAAATATATAAAGTTATTATATATATATATATATATATATTAATATAAATAATAAATTTATTTTGATGTTTTATTTAATTCTATTCAATAAAAGAAATAATATTTAAATTAATTTTTATATACTTCTCTTTAAAATAAATAACTTCATATATATATATATATATAAATTAAATAAATTTAAGCTTATTAATATAATTAATAGATTTAGTATTTGTATTATAAAAAAATATATTATATATAATTATAATAATTAAAAAACAAATATATATATATATATATATATATATATATATATAAATTAATTACTTTTTTAGAATTTATATTTATTTTGATATGCAATATATATTAATTACTTAATTAAAATATTTATAACATATATATATATATATAAATTTATTTTTATAATATATAATAAAAAAAATTAGATATATTACCTAATAAAAGTTGAATTATAATATAACTGAATGGTACTTTCAGTTAAAAAAAAAATTATATAAAAATATTCAATATAACATGACTTTTTGTACATAAAGTTGATTACACGACTTGACCATTGACTCATTTGCTTAAATGCAAAACATTATTTACCCTGATAGGCAAAGAAGCCTTTGTATTTTTATAAACAAATAACAGTGTAGATGTATGTAAAAGAATATGAACTATGAGGTTAAAATAAATATAGTAAAATGTAGTAACATGATTATATTCACGTCAGAAACTCAATTGAAATGAATACATACTGAAAACATACTTTTAGAATAGTTTGATGGTTATCTAAATTATTCACTCAGGCCCTTTAATTTTCTTCATTTACAAAATTTTAGTTTATATATATATATATATATATATATATATATATATATATATATATATATATAATAATAATAATAATAATAATAATAATAATAATAAATATGAAGCGAAAATAATTTCCCTATACTCTAACAATACTAATATAAAAATAAGAATAATCACAATAAAGTTTTAACGTGGAAAAATCTCTTAGAAGTAAAAATCTACTATACAGCCTACTCAATTAAATTCTACTAAAATTAAGACATGGACACAAAAGTTAAATAAAAATGTATAAATAATATCTACAAATCAATATATCGAAACACTTTTAAATTTAAAAAAAAAACCTAAAATAAAGTCACATCATCATACTAAATCACAAATCTCCAATTAATGATCATAATTATTAAAGTAAAAAATTAGTAACAAAGATTGATAGATAAATAAGCGAAATAATTTTGTTTTTAAATTTAACTTTTTGTTATTACTAAAAGACTCTCTCCACTTAAATTAAGTCATATAAAATAGACTTAGTTAATTTAATATTTTTAGAGTAAAATATATATATATATATATATATATATATATATATATATATATATATATTATATAGTTATACAGAAAATAAAGATGGCATTCTATATTGTCGGCTTAAGTAAGGATATATTATTGGTGGGAATTGGTACTCATTCTCTAAACTGTACACACTATATATACACAATAGTAGAATATCAAGTCAATTATAAAGAAAACAACAAAATTGAAATTTAAAATTGAAGATTAAAGTTGAAAAGAAAAGGGGTTATCATCTTATTACATCACTTCTCTTTTTTTATCTTGCTTTTTTTTCTTTATTTTCCATCATATTTTCTTTTCTTAATCTATTCCTTCTTTATACTCATGCACTGTAATAATACAGTATTAAAAAAACATTTTTCAAAGAAAAGCCTAAAGTGACATGATAAATATTAGCATATTATAACATCAGTCCATCCCGTCTCCTTTTCACACACATTTCGCAGATACATTTTCTCCCTTTTTATTAGTGGTAGTTAAGCTTTGAAAGCTGAGAAAGAATAAAGCAAAGTAGAAAGATGTGTTTTTCTTGAAAGTGAGCAAAGAAGAATAATATACATGGAATATGCGAACAGTTAAAACAAATTTCCGCTTTCCATGTATTGTTCAATTTATTTTGAAGAACCTTAATTTTTTTTTTATTTTTTCATAATTTTAAGAGATAAAATAAATAAAAATTGTAACTTTTATGAAATTTAACGAACTCAAGATACAATTTTTATGAAATTGTACAAATAACACTGATCCTTCTTTGCTTATAATTACCATTACCATAAACGTTTTAGACACTATATACTAGTACACTCCTGTGTATTATAATAAAACTGTTTTATTAATGAGTCATGATATTTTTTCTCAGCTTCAAAGAGTATATTTTTCTTCATATGAAACCTTAAAAATTCACTCCTTAACCACGTTCTTAAATTATACTTTAATACTTATGTCACCATTCATAAAAAAAAACTTACTGGTATCAGTTACAATAGTTTGCTATTTTGCAACATTCGTTGTACAATAATTTTAGATTTCAAAGGATCCGTGGAAGATTCGCAACTCCTACTCAATTCAGCCTCCAGGTACGTCATTAATGAGTGCCACCAATTTGTTATCATTTGAAATCAATTAAGTTTCTGAAAAAGAAGAAAGACCCGAGTCTTCAAACCCGAAAATAATTGCCCTCTCATGTCGTTTAGCACCACATACTGGTAACGTCGCTCCTTGTTTATTCGAGAAATTATTGATTTTCTTGTGCATTTTTTAACTCTATATAAAGTAGGGTACAAAAAGCCAAGAACATTTTTGGCGTGTGAATCGTTCGGGGACTTAAGACCACAAGTCCGTGACAAACAATATGTTCCCCTCAGTACGATTTTCTCCATTACGTATATACTACCAACTAAGTCACTGGGAGAGAGAGATTAGGATGATAAAATGGTTGGATTCCACATTTTGATCCGTGAGTCCATTTAAAAAAATGTTAAATAAAGATTGATAATTTCAATCTACCAAATTCGTTGTATCCCATCTCATTTAATCTGGAACATGATAAATTAATGATGACCGGACTTGTTTTAAAAATTATTTATATATTAAAATTTAAATAAAAAAATTATAATTAAAAAAAATATAACTTTTTATTATATTATTAAAATATATTATAATATTATAATTTAAATTATAAATATTAAATAATTAAATTTAAATTATTAATTATAATTAAATATTTTAACATACAAATATAATAATTTTTTAATTATCTAATAAAAATATTAATTAATATATAAAAACTAAAAACTATTCTTATAATTAAATGTATATATATATATATATATATATATATATATATATATATAAAAATATTAATAAATTGGTCTAGTGAACGAATCTTTTAACGTAAACAAGGAAAAATGAATAAGGATATGAAATACCACATTTTTATCTAACAATTATTGGCCTCTGCCACCAAATAGATAATGCTCCTAGCACTGACTATAGACAAAAGACTCCAAGTGGAATCCATTTAGAGTCAAGAGTGGAAATTATTCTCCCTCCATCATTCTTATTTGATATGTTAATCATCATTATATAATGTGTGTATCTTAGGAGAATTTAACCACCATTGACTAGTGAAAGTCAGGAAAAAAATAATTGATATTAAAATATTCCTTCCATGTTTAAAGTTTTTTCACATGTTAATAATATTAATAAATATATCACTTTTTTTTTTTAATCTAAATGACCTCTTTTTTTAATATATACATTATCTTTGCTGAAAATACAAACATTGATATAATTTATTTGGGGATAAACTAAAATTAAAGATTAAAATTATAGTCATTTTAAGTGAAGCATATTTTTTTAAATTTTAAATGAAGAACGTTTAAATATTTTAATAGAAGTTCCTTTTCAATTTATGGTTCTTTTACATCAATAATTTGTGATACTCTTTTTAATAATTTATAATCCAAGTATGTACATATATGTGTAACAAAACAGCTTTACTTATTTATCCCACTGATATATTTGGTGAATTAAAAAGTATTTAATAGTAAAACTAATAATAATTTAAAAAAATAACGACTCCATTGTACTGTATCAAATGAATTAATTAAGTTTTTTAAAGTTAAAGTTATTGAAATCTTATTGAAGATTAATTATGTCTCGAGAAAGATTAAATAAATTGCCTTATTTGTCACAGTTGAAAGAAAAACATAAACAAAATTGATAATATTACATTAATAATTAATTTTACATCCAACAATATTTTGAAAGATAGTTTTTAAATGGAACTGTGATGATTTTTAATTAAAATAATAGATTTTTTTTTCCATAAAAATCTGCTTCAAGACTATATTAATGTTGGAGATGACTTTGTTGCAGATATTGCTATGAAAGAACTAAATCCATCCATGCATAGGAAAACCCGAAGAGAGTCCAACCCACTTTCTTTTTTCTTAATTTAATATATATATATATATATATATATATATATATATAATATTGAAATAAAATTAAATTTAATATTATTCTAATTCAAATAATATATGAAAATAAACATGGAGAATCTTTGAAAAACTTAAGAACTAAATAATATATAACTTCAACTTTTTAATTAACTATTATTATAACTTCAATTATATCATATGTATCAGTAATAGCATAAGAACGAGTGAGTGAAAATAAAAGTGCAACTCTAACTTATAGAAAGCTTCTTAAATGAGAAATTTCTTGCTATGAGAAAAGATAATTATAAGCATAGGTTGTCGTATAATATTTAAATGGTAAAAAATAAAATAAACACATAACTTACTATATGATGATGCACCACTGAATAGCTTTATAGTCTTCACTTCTTATTATAAAAAGAATTCTCATTGGTGTTTGAATTAGATTTAAGCACCCTATCCTTTAGCTTGAGAAAAGTGTTTCATTACCGACCATATGAGATCAATTTCATTTTAGTCATTAATTTAATGATCCATGTTACAATCTTAAAACTGTAATTGTTCTCTTCCTACAATCTTAATTCCTAATTTACAGTCTTACTTACCAACCAGATGCTGGCACTCATGGGAAATTCCACCACCAAAACAATTGTCATAACTGGCCACTCCATTGGAGGAGCCACTGCCTCTCTATGTGCTCTTTGGCTATTGTCTTACCTCCACCATATATCTTCCTCTACATCTGTGTCAGTCTTATGCCTCACTTTTGGTTCACCAATGCTAGGGAATGACTCTTTCCCTCGTGCCATTCTCAAAGAGAGATGGGGTGGTAACTTCTGTCATGTGGTCTCAAAGCATGACATAATGCCAAGGCTGCTCTTTGCACCCATAACCCCTTACACTACTCAGGTAAACTTCCTGCTTCAGTTTTGGCGACTGTCCATGACTACTCCAGGTTTTGGGAAGCTTGCAGTTCCAATTTCTGACCAACAGCAAGAGTTGTTCAACTTTGTGATGAGTTGCTTGGATGCAGCCACACAAGACGGAGAAGGATCTGCACCAATTTTGTTTCACCCATTTGGGAGCTACCTTTTTGTTTCATCAGAAGGAGCAGTGTGTGTGGATAGTTCAACAGCTGTTATAAAGATGATGCATTTGTTGTTTGTATCTGGTTCCCCAGCTTGTAGTATTGAGGACCACCTAAAGTATGGAGACTATATTAAGAAATTGTCTTTGCAATTCTTGAACCAGAAAAATTCCATGTTGGGGAACATTCCTGACTCAAGCTATGAAGCAGGACTTGAATTGGCGGTTCGATCTTCAGGTTTAGCAAACCAGGTAAATACGCTATCTAGGCTCACAATTATGCATAGTCAACTTTTATTAATTCTTTTTGGCAAATAAAAAGTTCGACTATTTGCAGTGTAAATTGGTCGAGACCATGAATTTGTGGTGGTGTCCGACCATGCTATAGTTTCTCCACCACTATGTTATGTGATGTTTCGTCATCTCTTATCTTCTTTCACGTAAACACCAAAATGCCAATTTATTGAATACATTTTGAGTGTAACACGAGTAACTATGTCTTCTCACTCACAAAGAAATACTATAATTAGTTACACATGATTCGTAGTTTCAACTGGAAGGAGATTTCACTAAAAGAAATTACTTTCGCTCTATATCTTTAGGAATCGGCCAAGGAATGCCTTAAGTCGACAAGGAGAATGGGTCCTTCACCAACCAAGAATGCTGCTGTGTTACCAATTAAATTATCAAAGGTTCTGCCTTATAGGGCTGAAATAGAATGGTATAAATCCTGGTGTGACCAGCAAGTTGATCAAATGGGATACTATGACTTATTCAAGAGGAGAAGGAGCACTTCAAAAATGGCCATGAAAATCAACATGAATCGTCACAAACTTGCCAGGTTTTGGAACAATGTGATTGAGATGTTGGAGAGAAATGAGCTGCCTCATGATTTGGTAGTGCGAGAAAAATGGGTCAATGCTTCACATTTCTACAAACTCTTGGTTGAGCCATTAGACATTGCAGAATATTATGGGAAGGGAACGCACACAACCAGGGGCCATTACATACAGCATGGCAGAGAGAGGAGATACGAGTTCTTTGACAGGTGGTGGAAGGATGGAATGGCTACCGCAGAAGAAAATAATGAGAGGAGGAGCCAGTTTGCAAGTTTGACCCAAGATTCATGCTTTTGGGCAAGGGTGGAGGAAGCAAGGGACTGGTTGAATAGTGTTAGAAGTGAGAGTGACACAAGCAAGTTGGCTCTGCTGTGGGATAACATCGAGAAATTTGAGAGGTATGCTGTGGACCTTATTGATAACAAGGAGGTGTCTGAAGATGTTCTGGCTAAGAACTCAAGTTACAGTATATGGGTGGAAGATTTAAAAGGACTAAGGGAACTAAGAGCAAAGGTGAAGAGGTTCCCACACAACTTCAACCCATTTCAGGATGGGGAAGTGATTCCTTAGTAATTTTAAATGAAACCAAGACATAAGCTTAACTCTGTAATATACCTATGAACAACTAGTTTACAAAATAATTAGGGTGCTTATGGCTTGGCTGAATCAGTATTTTACTTAAATGCTCACAAAAAGTATGACAAAATCAAATCTGTTATCGTTCTTACCTTTTTGAACCGAATGATGAAAGTTTTCTGCTGACATGGCAATTCCAACAATATATTTTTAGCACGCAATGACAAAAAGGATATTCTACTAATTTATTCTTTCTTTAAACTTCTAAAAGTTATACCTTGCCATTTTGCATATCAATATTCCTAACTGGCCCTTTGAACCATTTCCTTGCATCTAACAGCCACCAAAGCATTATTAGGCCCAAACCCACCCCCAAAGCAACTGGTGCATAATTGAAAGTATCCCAAGCAATTGGGTACAGAGTTGGCAAAAGGAATACAGAACATGTGTAACAAATCCATAGAAATGCCACCAGACACACTGGTCTTCTTGCTTTGCCTAAATAAAATGGACCAGGCTTGAAGTTCTTCTCAGACATCACAAGTCTTGCAAAGATAGGAACTGCATAACCACCAACCCATCCAATTGTGCATATTGAAGTTATTGCAGTGAAGACTACATTGACCTTCAAAATTGGGAGACCAAGAAGAATGCAGATTGCTGCACAAAGCCACACTGCATTTGAGGGAACCTTGTACTTTGGGTGCAGTTGTTGCCATAAGTGGGAAAAAGGAACTCCCTTGTCTCTTGACAAAGCATAAACCTGAAAGTTGTTTGAGATACACCATAAAGTAAGGAGTCATTATTCTCCTGATATCTTTTTGGTTCTGACACTAGTAGTCTCTAATCAAAGCTAAAAATTGGATAATCAAATACTTTCTTTTCTCAAAAGATAAATTCTACCAATTGCAAAGGAGGTAAATTGATCTTGAAATCCTAATAACCAAAAAGACCAAAAAACTACTGTAGTTACCACTCTGGCAGCACTTGTAGTAATTGAAAGCCCACCAAAAAAGAATGAACCCCAAATGACAAATAGTAGAACGATTGCTCCAGCAGAATTGTGATATCTTCCATGGAATGCATCATAGAGTATTTGTGCTGGAACAAAAGCTCCAGCAGTCTCATTGTTTACATCATAAAGGTAGCCAAAATCCTGAATAAGAGTTGAGAAGTGAAGTTACTATCATCCTTTGGATCATAAAATCATTTTCCTCTCAAAAGAGGTGTTCATTGCTTGGTTATAGTTTCAAGATTATTGATTTGATATTACTAACTTAGATTTACCTACGCTTACCTGAATGCTGAATGTAAGTGCCAAGATATATGCCCATCCAAATACTGAAATAATCCCAATGCTACCTAGTATTGCAATAGGCCCATTCTTGTCTGCACCTTTGGTTTCTTCAGTTAGATGTGCTGCAGCATCATAGCCATAGAGGGAATACTGGCTGACAAGAAATGATAGGATAACAGCATATGGTTTGCTTGTTACTCCTGTTGATCCAGGGGCTAATTCTAAGTGTGTGAATACAAATGAAGCAGATTTTGTAGTTAGTGCTACCAGAGGTAACATTATGACTATCACCAATCCACCAATAACCTGACAGAATAAATGAGTGTGTTACTTCCTAGGACACCCAAAAACCTTAAAATTGTTGAGCATATCATGAAGTACATTTCAGAATATATTCATTTATAGGAATAAACAATTATGAACTGTAACATATGCGAATTCACAAGGGAATTTGGGTTTAGTCAAAACATCAACTTTACACAACTATCTGTCACTTCTTAGGGTGTTCACGAGTTGATTTTGTTCGGTCTGAGTGAATAAAAAAATTGAACTAATGAAAATGAAATGAATGGTCTTGTTTTCTTTTTGCAAATTCTTTTTCTTTTTCTAGAACATATTGGCATAATGTGTTTAGAGAATATAAGGAAGGAGTAATAGTACCTGCCATCTTTTTTCTATCTGCTGTTTTTTTAATATCAGAATAAGCAAGCTTAGGCCATCTTATGGCAGATATAAAGTGTATACAAGGAAGTAATAGAAGTACCTGCCACCATATTGAAACTATATCAATCAAGGCAATCACTTCCAATGCAAATGTGTTTAGTGCCGCCCATATAACAGTGAGGCCAATGTACATACATAAGAATAGCCATTTTGGGGCGAAGTACCCTCCACCTTTGTTTGTGCCAGTTGAGAGGAGGATTATACTCTGCAATGTTTGTGATCCTGCATATGCCTTTTCTAACCATAAAAAGCATGAGTAAACCACATAACATTATCTGAAAATATTGACTAGAAATTTCACCAAAGTACCTGAGTCCCTATCCCAGCTATAAGCCCAATGGTCTCAAGCCAAGCACAGCACCATGAAGAAAATGGTCCCCATTTTGGACCAGCTAAATGGGCAGCCCAAAAGTACAGAGAACCAGTCGTCTGTTAGATTCAATAGGAAGTGAAAGTTAGTTAAGTTACAAAATTCATTTACATGATTTATTTATTTTTATGTAACAGGAATCGACAAGTACTTTTAGGATGTAAAGTCTCCAATATGCAAAAAAGACTTACTTTTTCCCATGCCGCTGTTCATAGCTAATCCTATTCGAAACATTGTCGAATACTAAATATTGACAATTCTCCTAGCAAAAATTAAATTTTGATTCACTACGCTACGTGGGACTAACCCTTCTCCTGATGGTATAAAAGGCCATTATTAACTCAAATATTTTATAATTGAAAATGGCATATTTTCATGATTCAAGATTCAATCAAATTCAGATAGCTAGATCTATAGACTGTAAACATCAAGGAATTCTTTTTTTACCAAGCTTAACTGTAGTATAGTACCTGTTTGATAAATTCTATGCCTTTCCATAAATTATATTTTAAAATATTAAGCCTTAAACACCACTACAAACAAAATCAGCACGTTAGAAGAGACAAACCGGGAACGAGGAGCATATCTCAGCCATTGCAATCCCAACGAACCAAGTGAAGAAAGAAACCATTACCCATCCCCACACAAGAGATGCGGGGCCTGCATATTGAAGACTAGAACCATAGAGAGGTGTAATTCCAGTGAAAAGGGTCATTGTGGAAAATGATATTGCCAGAGTTTTGAACATAGTCTGCACCATAAAAGGAGAAGCTAAACAGATTTAATCACAAGTGAAGTTATTTTATTTACTTAAAAGTAGTATCATGATCAACTCCATCAAACACAAGATGGCAATAATACAAAATAAAATACACACCATTTCTCTTCTCAGTTCTTGCTTGTAGCCAAGCTCATTAAGCCTTTTCTCTGCTGAATCCATAGTTGTGTTTCCTGATACTTCTGCAAAGCTTCTTTCATTCCCCATAGAAACAGACTTCTATTGAGGAGTTCCCTATGTAATATGAAAAAGATAAGAACCTCACAACAGAGTTCAGAAAGCTCATAAACATAAGCAATCAAGACTGGACGCAAAGAACGATATTTGACTAGTGTTTCAGTTGAAAGATTCAAACTTTCTAGTTGCAATATTTGAATAGTCTATTGGGGCAAGTAACAAGTGCAAGCAACATATTTCGTGCTGCTTTATCCAGTCATGGGTCAGTGTTTTCTCTCATACTATGAAAGAGAAAAACGATTTCACACTCGCAAGTTGAAAAGTAAATGCACACAGTGTAATGCTCGTTGTAATAGGCCAACCTAGTAATCGTTTAGCTTAAATAGTCAAAAAATTGTTTTTCATTTGTCGCTTTGTGTATTACATTATCGGAAATTTTCTTTTGACAACAGATTATATTAATATAATAATAATTATAATATTTATTATTATATTAATAAATTCAGATGTTCATTGAATGTTAGAGACGTCAAAATATCATCCCTCTTATATTATGCTACAATGATGAATTGGATTGGTTTATTGCATCTGAGTTTGAAATACATTTCTTGATTTGCATCGTTGGACTTTGCCTTCGTTGACATTCTAGAGAGGATCGAGAACATGTCCATTCGTCATGTTCCCCTGTTCCCCACTATAAGTAGTATAGGTTGCTTTTATGTCACATTTATCCTGAGAAAAATACTATACAGTATAACACAATCGTTTAATATATATTTTATTGTAAGCCGAAATTTACTGAAGAAACTCAAAATTATGAAGTCAAACTTCTTGTTAATAAATTTTAATCAATAATAGAAATGTGTGCGTTTCTGGTGACACAGTTCAGTTGGGTGTAAGAGGAAATATTTAATCTCAAGTAAATAAACTACATGTGAAGTATAACTTTTAAGCGAACTTGCGCCTGAATATTAGGTTAGTTTGGGTTAGAAATCAGAGTCCATTTACATGAAACAGTGGGTTTCTTCTATAAAATGTTGGTGGTACTTATCCAAACTCCTCATTACAACAGCAGGAATTAACATTATGCTGATCAAGAATATTCTGTCAGATTTTGCAAATTTGAAATTCTGTGCACAACCATATATACGTTGACATATTTCTCTTTTTCTCAGATAAACCATTGGAGAAAAGGGAAACAAAGAAGGGGAGCCATCTTTAATCGAGATCTTATGTCCACTAAAATTATGATGAAATTATAATATATAAATAGAATGGAAATTTTACTTTATATATTAAGTCACATAGGAGCATCCATCTAGTAAAAATAAATTTGGAATTGGCACCTAAATACTTAAATTGCAGTTCCTATACTGCAAATAAAGTTGTAAAAACTGATGGATCGTACGTGTATATGTATAAATATTATAATCCATAAGCCTTCTTATGATTTTCCATTTTAACTAAATATCATGATGATGAAAGAGTATCTAAGGATTTGAACACATCATATTAGTATATTGTTTTTCGTTGGGTTAGATATATTGGGTTAGATATATATTAGTTTTTATGTTTGTATTAGTTAGTTATAAAACATTTCTGTCTTTCTCTTTTTGTTTTTTTCAGTTTTCTCCTTTTACGGAGTTAGCAGTTTGTAATTTTTTGAAAATTAAGTTCAATATAAAGAGATTTACGTGATAACTAAAATGGTATCAGATATTTCAAATATTTCTTCTCTTTCTTGATTTTTTTTTTCATTTCTTTATGGCTCTTATTCCGATTTTCATACCAACCCTTTGAATCTTTTCTTTTTCCATTCCAATGAGAACCTTACTCTCATTCTTGTCTCTTCTCTCTTAGATGACAAGAATTATCATGTCTGGTTTCACATTATAAAGTTTGTCCTAAAATCTAAGAACAAGTTAAAATTTGTTGATGGCAACTTGCTTGAACCGCCGCTAGATGCTCCTTTGCATGAACCTTGGGATCAGTGTAAAATGATGGTGCTTTCTTGGCTTCAATGATCTGTGCATGAATCAATCCTTCAATCCATCATTTGGATCAACTCCGCTTCCCCTATCTTGCAAGATCTCTATTACCGTTTCCATCAAGGCGATCTTTTCTGTGTTGCTAAATTACAAGAAGAATTGCACAAATAACCCCAAGGTACCTCTTCAGTCACTTTGTTTTATACTGCCTTATGCACTATCTGGGAAGAAATCAATACTTTTCACCCTCTCCTTGCTTATAAGTGTTTTGTTTCGTGTTCTTATGGTACAATTGCGTTTGTTGGAAAATATAAGCAACAAGATCAGGTGATTCGTTTTCTTAAAGAACTAACCATACCGTTGATACATGTTATTTTAAACATAGCTTTCCCCTAGGGTATCAATCTAAAGGTACACGCATGGCTAATGTTGTCAACATTAATGATTTTTCCTCTTATTCACTTGCAACAAATACCTTGTAACCTCAAGAAGCTTCAAGACCAGTGATTCATTTTACTGAAGAGTAATTTCAAGACATTCTAAAACTTTTACAACAATCCAAATCCTTTGTTTCCACTTCTTCGGTCTCATACACTTCCAACACGGTCACATCCCCACCCATCTTCTCTAGACCCTTTTCTAATCTTTCAAGTAAAAATAGTCATCAGTGACTTCTAGACACAGGTGTCACTGATCATATTACTTTCATTTCCAACACTTTGTTATTTACAAGTCTATTTCTCCTATTTTAATCACTTTACCCAATAATGTTCAAGTATTCACTTCTATTTCTGGTACTATTCTATTATCTGAATCATTGATTCTTTATGATGTTCCCAATGTACCAGAATTTTGTGTCAATTTAATTTCAGTTCACAAACTGATTCACACTCTTAACTACAACCTGTCTTTTAATTCTAATTCTTGTTTTATTATGCAGAATACTTCCAGGAAGATGATTGGTTCAGCTAACTTGCACTAAAGATTATACATGATAAGTCTGCCTCCTCATCACCCTAATCCTCCTCTTGTTGCAGCTAACACCATTACCATTAGTTCCACATATGCTTCCCTTTGGCACATTATATTAGGTCACCCTTCTGATTCCATTTTATGTATTGTTTTTCAACAGTTTCCTTTCATTCCTTATTGTAAACATACTTCTCCTTGTAACATTTGTCATTTTGTTAAACAAAAGATGTTGCCATATCATAGTAGTGAAACATTTTCAAATAAAATCTTTGATATTCTTCATGGAGATATTTGGGGATCCTATTCTGTACCTTCTTTATCTGGTCATAAATATTTTCTCACCTTAGTTGATGATACTGACGTTTTACTTGGGTCAAATTCATGAACAATAAATTTGAAACTAAAACACATTTAACATAGTTTTTCTCTATGATTGAAACTCAGTTTCAGACCAAATTAAAAAATTTTGCACTGATCATGGAGTAGAATTTTTATTACATGAATTTTTCTCCTTAAAAGGCATCATTCATCAACGAACCTGTGTTAAGACTCCTCAACAAGAGACTTGTTTCATCAAGCGCATTTACCTGACATTTTGCTATACAACAAGCTATTCACATTATTAATCAGTTACCTACTTCATTGTTGCATTTTAAATGTCCTTATGTGTTCTTGTATAATCAACCCCCTAGCATGATTCATCTCAAAATTTTTTGGTTGTCTTGCCTATGCTAGTACTCTTCAATCTCATAGAATTAAGTTTCTATCTAGAACACACAAAATTGTTTTCTTAGGCTATAGAGAAGGTACAAAAGGATATGTTCTATATGATCTCCAATCTCATCAAATTTTCATTTCAGGAAATGTTATTCTTTATAAAAATGTGTTTCCTTTTACTATATCTATTACCTCACCCAATGCTTCTCCTTCACTTCCTTTACTATTTGAAACTACACAACATTCCCCTCACATTCCTACTATTACTCCTGGCCCTTGATCACACCTTTAGCCCATACACAAAATTTTCTCAATCTATAGAGCAACAATCCCTTCAACCCATTAGACATTCTACTAGACTTCGTCATCAACCTTCACACCTTGTAGATTTTCACTGCCACTCTGCGGTGGTTTCAAATTGTTCAAGTCATCTTTTTGAAGGGAATTGTGCTTATCCTTTATTCTTTGTTCTTAGTTATAACCATTGTAATACTTCTCACAAGTCTCTAAAAAAAAATTGTTTTTCTATCACCATTGTTTATAAACCTAAAAACTTTTCACAAGCCTCTAAATTGGATTGTTGGAAAAAGGCTATGAATGTTGAGTTCTAGGCTTTACAACAAAATAACACTTGATCTTTTATTGAGCTTCCCCAAGGTAAAAGTCCTATTGGTTGTAAATGGGTCTACAAGGTAAAATATCATGTTGATGGCACTATTGAACGCTATAAGGCACACCTAGTTGTCAAGGGTTATACTCAGTTAGAAGGTGTAGATTTTTTTGATACCTTCTCCTCAGTTGCTAAAATCACCAAGGTACGAGTTCTTTTAGCTATTGCAGTTGTTAAAGGATGGTTTTTGGAGTAACTTGTCATAAATAATGCTTTCCTTCATAAGGAATTGCATGAAAAGGTTTATATGCTCCCTCTACCTAATTTACTCCCTCTCGGTTTTTCTAAAGTTTGTTACTTGCACAAGTTCCTTTATGGCCTCAAGCAAGCTAGTGGCAATGACATAGTTTTTATCTGCCACTATTGTATCTCTTAATTACCAGCAATCTTCTGTTGATCCAACTTTATTTGTAAAATCGAGTTCTAAATCTTTTACTGCCTTGTAAGTTTACGTTAATGATCTTGTTCTTGTTGGCAATGATATAACCGAGATTCAATCTGTCAAGCATGTCTTAGACACCAAGTTTAAAATTAAAGATCTTGGTTCATTGCGCTATTTTCTCAGACTTGAAATTGCAAGATCATAGCCTGACATACATATGAATCAGCGCAAATATACTCTTTAACTCCTTGATGATAGCGGGTTACTTGGTTCCAAATCTATTCCCACTCCTTTTGACCCCTCTACCAAATTGCAAACTACTCATGGCCAAACTCTCTATGATGTTGTTAGCTACAGACGTTTGATTGGTAAGCTCTTGTATCTTACCATCACGTAGCCAAATATTGTCTTTTTTGTCCAGCAACTCAGTTAATATATGACTAATCCCTTGACACTCACTACAAAGCTACACTTAGGGTTCCGATTGGGCTTTTCGTTTAGATACTCATCAGCTTGTTACAAAGTTTTGTGTTTTTCTTGACTCTTCCTTAAGTTTGTGGAAATCCAAGAAGCAATTTATCGTTTCCCATTCCTCCTCTGAAGTCGAGTACAGAGTCTTGGCCAGCTTAACCTATGAAGTCTAATGGCTGCATTATCTCTTTCATGACTTACATGTTCCTTTGGATCCTACAGTTGTGTATTGTGACCAGTGGCGGATTTTGACCATTCATCTTGGAGGGCCAAATAATATATTATTAATAAATAATAAATAAATATAAAATGAAGTAAAGAGATGAAAATGTGAAAGGATAAAATTGTAAATATATACTTAAATATATTAAATAATTATTAAGTCTGAATCATAAATTATATAAGAGTTACAAAACGAGGAAGGATCGAGAGAATAAAATTATAAATATATAAGTAAATATATTAAATGTTCATTAAGTTTGTGGAAGTCAAAATCATAAATTACATGGGAGTTACAAAACTTTGGAGGGGCCATGACCCCTCAACTCCCAAGATGATCCGCCACCGATTGTGACAATCATTCTACTATTCACTTTGCTCATAATCCAAGTGTTTCATAAGCATACCAAACACATTGAGATCGATTATCATATCATTCGTGAAAAACTTCAACATGAAATAATTCATTTGCTTGTATGTATCTTCTTCAGTCCAGCTTGTTGATGCCTTCACCAAACCCCTTCATCACAAGTCATTTGACACATTTGTTTTCAAGTTAGGTCTTTGTGATATTTACCATCCAACTTGAGAGGGGTATTAGTAGATTGTTTTTCCTTGGGTTAGATACATGTTAGTTTTGTGCTTGTATTAGTTAGTTATGAAACATTTGTGTTTCTCTTTCTTTTTTTACAGTTTTCTCCTTCTAAAGAGTTCTACCCAACTCTGCTTTTGGCAATTAAGTTAAGTACAATGAGATTCACATATCATGAGAACTAAGACAACTCATTCGCCATAACTTGGGAATCAAATCAAAACTCAAGAAAGAATAAAAAAATCAGAAAAACAAATTTTTCATGCCAGAGTTAAGCTGCTGCATCAAAGGAATGAAGAACTTGCTCTAAAATCATTCTCTTATGCGGGTCAAGAGGACTCTCTGGTTTATCAGAGTGAGCAATATTTAGAAGATAGAGCTTCTTTGAGGCCACAAATGCTGCAGAAAATATCCTTTTCATCCCTCCTCGAGTACTATCGACCTTGTATTCAAATTCATAAATTTGCAACCCTCCTTCTCCTGATCTTTCTGCTAATGTAATCAATTCAGCCTCCTTTGTACTTTCCTAAATGTCAAGGCAATAAGTAACAAAAGTTAATAATACATCATACAATCATTTTATGTCTATCCACCAATTATAAGAACACAAAGACATGTTTTACTATGAGAAAACATTACACAGATGCTATATGAATTTAAAAAGTGCACTATACGTACAGCATTGCTGACATGAAATCATTTTAAAAGTGGAACAAAGGTAACAAATGCTAACGTGAATTTCAGCTCCTTTTTCTCTCGTCGTATAATGTAGTGGACGTGGAATTCTTCTACACAGTAAAAAGGTACCAAGAAGGTTTTAAAAAAGATTCCACGAATCAAGATTTTTGGAGTCTCTGAGATTACATTTGTTGCCTTACTACCACTATGTTTTTGCAATTTTTCACAATATTGAAGATCACAAACAAAACGGCAACCATACCACCTCACACATTTTACAATGGCTAAAATAAGCAGCTGCGAAAAAAGAACAGTTTACCTTGCGTCTTTCGGCTTGTAAAAGCTTATCAGCAACGAACTGAGGTGTCCCGAACTCTTCAAGAGTCTTAAGACGAACTGGGCTTACCACAACCCCAATATTGTTACTTCCCATATTCTCCTCTTGAAACAACACAGTTGCCCCTGCTTTATCAACCTGGTAACCACATTAGCAAAGACTGTTCTTATTCATGATGTTTATTTTTTTCTTCTGGGTTGACACACTTGCCAAAATCAATGGTTGTCAACTTCTGGGTGTTTCTTATTATAATAATTTCAATCATTAGTTAAATTTATTTTGGGTTAAACAAGTATTTGGTAGATCTGTTTTATTATAAATTCAATGTTATAAATATCAAATAAATATATTTACTTTGGCCCTAATATATTACTCATGAATTGACATTGTTGGCCTGTAATTATCTAGTTATATATTTGCATAGATGCTCATATGATGTGATGCTGTGAAAATTAGTATGTAAATAAAAAAGTAACATATTAACAAACAAGATTAAATTAATATATTTATTAAATGTTAAATATAAAAAAATACAAATAAAAATGGAGATAGCAATTACAAATAGGAGTCCATTTATATTAATAATTCCATCCTCCGTAGCAGTCAATTTTTGCTAATTTCAAAATTGTGTAACCAAGGTATTTGCGAGGAGGTAACAAGTAGGAGATTCATGGGAATGGATCAGAACTACCTATATAAGAAAATATGAAAACATTTCACCCAAAATCTTAAAAGATTAGGTCATAGTGTCAGCTTGTAATTATTCAACTTTTCCATTTAAGCACCAGCGAACACAAATTCATCCAACTTTTAGTATCAACTTACTACAATATTGTTCACCAAAAAAACTAGTGCAATATTTAAATGTCATAGCTTTAAGTTTCAACTGAAAAGCTTGTAGTTTAGTTTACCTTGGTCCAAGAAGACGGTGTAAGAAGAGTGAAACCTTCCTTGGAATCAGTGTATCTCTGAAACTCCAATTCTTGAGCCAACAAGAGTGCACCACGAATATTTGGCAACGGCACAGCCTGGCCACACAGGAACATTGTGAGAAGAAGGGTGAGGTTGAGATTCCTCTTGCTAAAAGAGGGTGCTAAGTGCATGTCTTTGTGGAATTCATGAATGCAGGTGAGTGAAGTGGATTTGGGGAACAAGATTGAGACGAAGATTCTGGAAGAAGCATAAGTGGATTGAGAGTGTTGGTGGAAGAAAGTGCAGCGTGGAAAGGTAAAGGAACTTCTTAAAGCCATTTTCTTTTGCAGATTTAAGGATTTGGTTTAAGATTTGTGGATTGGGTTTCAATTTTTCATGGCCATAGGATGAATCGAGAGGAGTCACAAGGTGAGTTAGAAAGTGTTCGTTGATCGCTATCCAGATTTGTTCTCTGCAATCTCTTCCACTTTCTAATGTTTACTGAAATTTCAGACTTTATCTATTGGATTTTTCTTTTCCCTTTTCACTTTTATCTCACTCATTTTCTATCTATTCATTGTTTATACTCCTCCTACGTGTGAAACAAACATTATTATTATTATTATCTATTTTCCACTTAGCCAATAACTATAATTGTTAGTAAGAGTTCACACCACGATACTTAAATCATCGGTCCCACCATCATTCATACTCCTCCTACCTGTGAAACAAATATTATTATTATTATCTATTTTTTACTTAGCCAATAACTATAGTTGTTAGTAAGGGTTCACACCACGATACTTAAACCCTCGGTCCCACCACGATTCCACGATTCCGATTCCCCGCTCTTTGGGAATCTTATGGGGACTTACCACTCACTGCCTCAATTCGTCCCTGCAGGAATCGAGTGCGCGTCCTCGCTCTAATACCAAAGGATGAGCGCGCAGCGTTAGCCACTTAACCAAAAATTATAGTTGTTAGTAAGGGTTCACACCACGATACTTAAACCCTCGGTCCAAAAATAATATAAAATAAAAAAATACTTAGCTTTCTTTTATTTTTCAGTATTTTATATAATACAAATTTTCAATTTGATCATAATAAATTTTTTTCGTCTATGGATGTGATTTACCCATAAGTTACATCTTAATATGACTTACCCATAACTTAGGACTTTAATTAAGAGTCAAGACTAATCTAATTTGGATGAGAAGTAAGTAAAATTTAAATAAAAATTATTTTGCATGTAAGAAGAAAATAAATTAATTTATAAATAGTTATTTTATATTAATGTCTCTATTTTTACTTATTTAAGTTTATTTCTATTCTAATTTTTCTTATTTAAAAATTATTTCTCATAACTTTTACTCAACTATTATATTTTTTTTATTTTATAAAAATATTATTTGTACCATTGTTTTTACTTATTAGTATTTCAAAAACTATTATTCAAATGAATAATTAATCCATTTGCTTAAAGTACAAAAGAAATGAGTAATTAATATATTCGCAGGACAAAAAAAAATTAACATATGATTCTTAAGCTCAAAGGACATTACTTTTTATTGATATTAGGTATTGGGTATATAAAAGACAGTTTTTATCTATCAATCTGGATTTGAGGTCGAACTTTGAAAAGATATGAACTTCTTTTATTAGAGTGGGTAAGAATGAGACCTTAGGGATTAAAAATTTGTCGTCCTTAAGAAAATGATTAAGAGGTTTATAGTCAATTACTAACCTCTTTTTCCCTCTGATTTTTTCGGACCTCTTTTCTACATAGAATGCTTGACAGACCCAATTGGATAGGGTAGGTTTGATCAGGCCTTGTCTTAATAGTTCTTGGCACTCTTGTCTAACTAACTGTAGGTCTGATGGAGACATCCCAAGGTGTGTAGCCTTAGTCAGATTGATATCTTCGTTTAGCTTGAAAGGTAACTGGACAAAGAACTTGGGGTTTTTCCAGAGGATTTGGGTGAGAGAAATCCTCATGATTGTTAAAGGGATTTGTCAATATCTGGTAGGCTGTTTGGGTCTTTAGTGCAATAGGAATGAAGTATTGAACAGTATCGCATCATATGGTCTATAATGTGGGGTCACAGAGGTCCCAACCAGGTTCACAGAATAGTTTAAAGATTCCTCCAAAGGGAATATCAGGGTTGAACATAGAGGCTGAGACTATCTTATATCTCATGGTTTCGTATAAAAAGTAGAAATAGCGAGTTTTAGCATAATGAAGAATATCGGTTGGTGTAGTTGGGTTTAGACCAGGTGGATAAGAATATTCCTATGTTCCAGAAGAAGCTCAGATCTTCGAAACGTACAGTTCTCTCCTTAGTCCTTATAATATATAATATCTTCAAGAGACAAAGATCTGTCCTCAGGTCTATCTCTAAACTCATTTCCACTAGAAGACCTCATGTCAAGGAGTATGTCCAATCCTCCAGGATGGACCAGTGTGCCCTAGCATCCACCACAGAAGAACAATATGTCAACATTGAGATCCCTAAAAATCATATCAGGCATTGGAAAACTGAGGGTTATACTCATCTCCATTACGGGGCTATCCGACTAGTCCTCTCCCTCCATGTAAGACGGGGATTACCTGTCTGAGCTAGAGTCTCTCTCTTAGACTTCAACTACCTCCATTATGAGCATGTTGTTATCGGCACTATTCTGACTATTCTTCATGCTGGAAGTGTAGTTGTCACCATCTTTTCGAATTTTAATATTAGCTTGAGAGATCGCACCATCTCCTAGAGATATTAAAGGTTCAGATCACCAGAGCTAAACAAGTGGCTAATGCACTATCAGCTACTCTCCATCATCAGATTATCTACAGATTGCAAGATCATGTGATAAATCTTGTGTTACCATCCTGTAAGGACGAAACACTATTTGTATTGGCTAATAACCAAGATGAGACACCCTCCATAGTTCAAATCCCCAAAAATATCTCTTCACAAGAGCTTCAAAAGCTTATTCCCATGCAGTGGGTGACTAATTATGAGAAGCTCCATAACAACCAGAAACTCATCTAATTTATAGAAGCAACGTTTCGAATATTTGTAAATGGTACTGTCAGAACCATCTTCAAGAATCCTGTAGACCCCTAATCTTGCCCGGCCTCGTAATAAGACCAGAAGACCTCCTTTTCAAAGATGGATGAAGCCTAAGAAGCCATTAGGAGAGGCTATTAGGCCCCATACTAGGATAGGAGGGATTTTCTGCATTAAAATAAGGATTTTCGCCTTCAAGGATCGAAACTGCTATCTCGCTTTTCGAGACCTCCGTCTCGCCATTCCTGCAAGTCGAGACCGCCGTCTTGTTTGCGAATGGCGAGACCCTCCTCTCGTTTGGCGAGACGGCCTTCTCACCATTTTTGCAAGGCGAGACGGCCGTCCCGAATGGCGAGATGGCTATCTCGACCTTGTCAGATGAGGCGCGAATCCCTATAAATAGTCATGCTTTTCCCTTCATTTCACACAGTTCTTCCACTTTCCCTTATGCAACTTCTTCAAATTCTCTTCCTAGAACCCCTCCGAAGCATTTCCGGAGTTATTGAGAGTTTCTTAGAGATTTTATAGCGTTTCCGAGAGTTTTTCCGGCGTTGTAAAGAGTGAAAGGCTGCCAAAACGCACCCTAATTTTCAAGAAATTAATCAAAGATCTTGCTTTAGAGGTTTCTTCTCCCTCTCTATCTCTTTATTGCTTTCATTATTATGATTAAATTGCGTAATAGATATTAGGGCCATGTAGTCATTCTTTTAATTCCGCAAATAAAAGGGTAAAAACGTCTTTTCACAAAGTTTATTTATTAAATAGATGGCCTATCATAGGGAACCCGAAAGGGGCGTCGTAAGGGAACTAACACTTCCCTTACACGTAACTAACTCCCTTACCTAAATTCTGGTTTTAATGACCAAAGTTGGTTTTTGAAAACCAACGCCTTTTTATTCCTTTTTCGATGTTTCCGATAAAAACATCGGTGGCGACTCCATAAGAACCCTTCAAAATTAATTTTTGGGTGAGCCCGGTTATTGGACGATCCAAGAACACTCTTTCAAAAACCTCGCCTCTAGGTTCATCCCGGTTATCGGACAACCTAAAGGCGTTGTAACCACACCTATAAAAACGCAAAAATTAGAACGTCAGAACCATTGCGTCGCTCCGACCGCCTCGTTTTGACGGCGACGACAAATCCAAAGGATGTTCCAAGTTCAAGCACTTTCATATTCCAGTCGATGATGATAACACCTGTCACCAAGGAAGGCAAGATTCCCATCGCCAGCGTGTGCCCTGATGGCAAACCTATCTTCACTGACAAGATAGGAGGACACTTCATCTATGATGCTGACCCAGACATGTGTGATTCTGATTGTGACTGTTGCGATCACAATGGAGACACTAATGATGAGGATGATGACGACTCAGATGATGATGATTTCAAAGGAGGATCTTGCAAACCTCCATTCACTCCCTCTAGGAGATTCGAACCTGAAAAAGGCCTATGGATAGGAATTTCCCGCCAAGAAAGACGAAATCCCATGTGAAAATATCAGCGATACGCTGAGATCCTTGAAGAGGAAGGTCTCTCCTTCTCTAAACAAGAAAGGTCTAGAACCTTTGCCATGCCACCTCAGCATGCTCCTGTAACTCCTCCCATTCCATGCATGATGATCAACCCGTCAGCTTACAAAGAAGAATTTCCTCAATTAGAAAGGAATGTTGACCTGTGTCCAAAACAACAACCAAACCACATGTCGTTTGTCAAGAGATTGGACCAGATGGGAAGACCAAACCCTTAAGTCAGGCCGAAGAAGTACTAAATTGGCAAACAGACAATGCTAAAGTCCAAAATTCTATCTTGCAAAAAATTGATAAGAAGATTGACAAGATCTTCACACACCTTGAGGAGACTGATGACAAGCTTCAACACCTTAATTCTACTCTGAGAAAGCATACAAACAACTCTCCTCAGAAATCTCAAGGCTAGAAGAAGACTGGAAGAACATCGTCTTCGGATAACTATATCATGCCAAAGAAAGGGAGATAAGAAGGCTCAAAGCCCAGATCTAGGAGATGGATAACTACATTGAAGAGAAAATTATGTAGCAGAAACCAGAGAAAGATCACTATTCATCCCTATTCTCTTCAACTCCAGCCTACTCCTCTTTCCAAAACCTGTCTCCATACTTCCAACCATCATCACAGACTACATGGTCCCTACCAACAACAACTGCTTACAAACCTAGGCCCAGACCAGTAACACCCAAGCCAGATAAAGGAAAGAAGGTTGCCCAACTTTCTTCAGAATCTTCTTTTGAAGATCAGCC